AGTTCTTTATTAAGTTTGTCTATCTTATATTGCAATTCCATATTATCAGCTCTTAATTTCCCATTTTCTACCTTCAGATCTAAAAATTGAAGGTTTTCAAATATATATCTATATATCGTAAAAACATTCATCAATAAACAATTAAGAATTGATAATCAAAATTTACCAAAATTACTCAAATTTTTTTCCGATGATCCAAAGTTTCAGTTGCTTCAACTCGACTTTCGTCTAGAATTATCGATTTCGGTAAATGGATTTTTGGAATTTTTACTTGTAAGCCTGCAAGCTTTGATTTAATAATATTTGATGATGATTTCGTATTGGAGAGAGAAGTTCGTGAAGCACTCGGTTATGAAGATGATTTCGTATTGGAGAGAGAGGTTCGTGAAGCACTTGGTGATGAAGATGATTTCGTGTTGAAGGGGGATCTTAAAGTACTCAGTGATGAAGAAGATGATTTCGTGTTGAAGGAGGATCGTAAAGTTTCTGATGACGTGTTGGAGATTCGTAAAGCAGTTTCTTCCTTATCAACATTAGGAGGGACGAGATAAAAAACATCTCTTTCGTTTCTTTCAGTTCCTTCTTTTTTTCCCTTTTTATTAATATTCTTTGATGTGTCCTTTGATATATTTGAAAAAAATAAAACTTTTCTTAATTGTTAAAATAGCCAAAATTTATTTACTCTTATTAAATTTATTAAATTTATAAAAATATATAATAAAATTTTACACGAAAGTATTTTGAAATTGTAAGAAAAAAAAAGTTAAGTTCTAGGACGAAACTTTGAAGAATCGAGTTTTTTATAGTTTATTTATAGTTAAAAATTTGATCAAAAGCTTAATTTATACTATTAAATTCTTAAATTTGATAAGTGATTTATTGAATTTTTTATTAATAATTCGATAAGTTACTTTACGTTAAATTGATGGAAATTTGATAAATCAATTTTAGTTGATGTGAAATTCGCCAAATCACTTAAATTTGATGAGAATTCAATACATCACTTAAAGTTGATGGAAAATTCGTAAAGTTTGATGAGAATTCAATACATCATTTAAAGTTGATGGAAAATTCATAAAGTTTGATGAGAATTCGATAAATCACTTTTAAGTTGATCGCTCAAGTTGAAAATTCGTTAGTCGAAACTTCACTAGCAACAATTATATGATAATTATTGAATTGAAACAAATTTCAATACAATTCCATAATTATCAAAATTATCTGAAATTTTTGACAAAATGGGACGAAAAAGAATGATATCTAGTGTACTTGATGAAAATCCTATTACTACCAGATCACCTCGAGTTACTACTTGATCAATCGTTCAGCCAAGAATTCGTAAAGTACCCTGTTTCTGTAGCGATTGTAAAGGAATGTTAGTTGCTCCTTGCACAAAGAATCGACATGAATTATCGAGCCAACTTTCGTCAGATGTTTCAGAAGTAATTATCAAAAATACTGAAATTCGGGATAATGAACCATTTGAAGTTTTGGAAAATACTGAAAATATTAATGATGAATCATTTCAATTGACTATTTTAAATGAGCAAAGAGTTGACTGATTGCCTCGAAGATGTAGATCAAGATACATTTCGACCAGAGTTTCCATTGGTAACATTGGTAACATCGAACAAGATTTATTACTGAGAGAAAGTACAGCCGAAGATCAAAGCGAAGACACTAATGAAGATAACGAATCGAATGGAGATGACGAATCGGAAAATAACAATTCTGAAACTTTTGAAGATTATTCATGCCCTTCTTTCAAACCATATCAAGACCCAGATGTCACTCCAACTCCAACTAGCGATGATAATAAGTTTTTATGGATTTTAATATGGATTATGAAATTTCGAATGAGATTTAACATTTCAGAAACAGCAACTAAATCACTAATAAAGTTCATAAAACTAGGACCCCGGATATCTAATATAAAGGTCATAATGGACTTTTGGCCAAAAACACCCCTTTTTGCTGAAACTCAAAAAATCGTTTTTTGTAAATATCTCAGCATCCAGTAATTCAATTTTAATGAACTTTTTTTTTATTTTGTAGCCCTCATTTAGCTCTACAATTTAAAAAAAAGTTCATCAAAATTGGACTACTGGATGCCGAGATATTTACAAAAAACAATTTTTTGAGCCCTGAAAAATGGGCCAATCTGCCGAAAGTGTGACTTATGACCTGTTTTGGAGATATCCGGGGTCCTATAAAACTGTTATTGGATGAAATTGGCAATACTGCATTTGAAAATTTTCCCGTCACTTTATACAAAGCGAGAAATATTCTCAACATAGAAGATTGATTTCATTGCTTTACGGCATGTACGAAGTGTCACAAATTATACAACAAACAAGAAGTAGAGGAGTTTCGTTAAGATGAAATTCTTGCCATTATGAAATGTCAACATATCGAATTTCCAAATTCATCGAGACGTCAGAAGTGCCAAACTCCTTTATCTCATCAAATAAGATTATTAAATAAAGTGTTAAATCGAATTGAGATGATTTATCCATTTTCTACAATTCGTCAACAATTAGCAACCCTATATCTTCGATCAGGATTCGAAAGGTCACTCAGACATTAGTCCGATCGATCACATTCTGAAAATATATTGACCGACATTTACGATGGTCAAGTGTGGAAAACATTTAAGGATACTTCTTATCATGATTCGCCTAATTTTTTTCAGTTTGAAGTTGCAGATTAACACCTCAGTTTAATGCTGAATGTGGATTGGTTTTAACCCTATGAAGGGACAATTCACAGCACCGGTGTGATATATGTTGCCATTTGCAACTTGCCTTACGACATTCGATTTAAAAGAGAAAATTTATTAATTTTCAGAATATTACCAGGTCCTAACGAAGTGAGCCTACACCAAATCAATCACTATTTAGCACCAATTGTCAATAATTTAGAATTACTATGGAGTGGAATAACTCTAAATCAAACATTTGAGTGCCAAAACGGAAAAAATATTCGTGTGGCTTTAGTACTAGTTTCGTGTGATGTTCCTGCGGCAAGAAAGATATACAGGCATATTTCAGCGCTTACATCATGTCACCAGTGCAAAAAACGAGCAAATTATGAGAATTGACAAAATAATTTCGCTGGGATGGACAATATAGACGAATGGTTTGTTACTCAAGATTTGGCCAAGTTTCGTGAAAATGCACATGAATGGCGATGTTGTAGCTCTAATGCTTCACAAAAACATTTTACGAAAGATACTGGAGTTAGATGGTCAGAATTATTGCAGTTGTCATACTTCGACCCTATAAGGTTCATTGTTGTCGATCCAATGCACTGCTTATTTCTAGGCATCGCGAGATGGATAGTGAAAAGAATTTGGGTTGATGAAGGAATTTTGAACTAACAATCGTTTATAAAAATTCAAAAAAAAATGGATGAGTTTCAGATTCCATCTGATTTGGGATGAATCCCTGGGAAAATCCATTGCAGAGAAGGATTTTCAAATTTTACAGCAGATTAATGGCGAATCTTTTTCACAATTTACGCTATGGTATCGCTATGGAGTCACCTTTCGGTACATGATCGGTAAATTCTCAATCATTTTGTGAGAGTTTATACAGCTTTTGTAAGTCGAATTTTAGAACTTGATGCTGTGAGAGAATTGCATGAGAGATTGATTGAAATTGTGAAGTTGATTGAAGAACATTATGAATGAGATAAAATTACTCTTAATCTCCATCTTTCACTTCATTTGAGTGAATGTATGTATGATTTTAGACCTTTATACGCATTCTGGTGTTTCTTCTTCGAATGCATGAACGGTGTATTAGGTAAACTATAACTATTTATTTAGGTTTAATATTCTTATTCTTAATTTATGCATAATTGTAATTTTAAATTTTAGGCACCTTACCAAACAGCCATAGGAAAATAGAACCAGAAATTATGCGACAAATGATGGCTAATATCCACATTGATAGTATTGTAAATTCTGGAGAAAATGTAAAATGACTAGAACTTCTCAATAACCGAGCTTTTGTTGGATCCTTGGCAGAGGCTGACGAATTTTCAGCTGATGAAATGGAACGATTTTAGTTGAATTCGCAGAATATTCAACAATCAATAGTCACTGGAAGCGAGTCGTTTCCAGGTGAAATGTTGGGTTCTGCCTCTGAAAATGTAGTTATGTCAAATTCAATGCTTGATTTACTGGTCGAATACTATTTGGTGACTTATGAAACACTTGAGTTTCGAAAGCCATTTGGAGAAGGCCACGAGAATTCAAGGATTATTTCCGTCAAAATGAAACAGTTCGGTAGATGTAGAATCGGTTCAGAGACATTTGGATCAAATATGTCAGCTCGACACGTAAGGAACTCGTATGTTTTAGCCAAATTTATAACACAAGACGGTAGTGTCGATTGTTATCCTGGACAAGTTCAATTTTTTTTTTCCCACAAGGTTGACTTACCGGATGGAGAATTGGAACATAATTTGGCATTCATTCGATGGTATCAACCAGCGAATTCTCGTTATTATTTCAGTATTGAAGACGATGAAATTTGCAATGTCGAACTTTAGGGTACTGAATTT